ACTTTCCTTGATTTTTTCCCAGCACATATAAAAATGTACCCTATTTTATTTTTATCTCATGAACTGGTGTTCCTTTAGACATTAATATCACTAAGTATAGTGTGGTGATGCATACTGGTATGAATTTATGTAAAATAGTAGAATGATGAATTGAAGAAGAAATCGCTTTAAAAAAGTACACAGTGTTTTTTTTTAACATTTTGTGCCAATTTTAAAACGTGAATACATCGATAAGGCTACTATTTACTCAGAGCTACATAACTACTTACTTTCCACACCTTGTCAAATATTTAACTTCATGATATCATCTCTCCTAACGTATGGGTGACATGAAATTGCAATTCCTCATGTATACGTTCAAAACAATTGTACAGTGACTCATTAAAAAATTTATCAAAAGGGATGTCATATGTTTATTCATTTAGTCTAAAAAGACAAAATCATGAAAGCTCCTATTCTCATTCATCAGTAGTAGTTATACAATAAGTAGACTAGTAGTAGGAATTATTGTATTCTACAGTAATGATTTGATTCTGTTCTGAGTTTACTGTGAATAAATTTCAATCAAATGGAAAAAATTTCTTCACTAGAAATTATATCTGAAAAAAAGAATACAATTCTTGTGTAATTTCCACATCAATATCACTGTATAATGATAGGTTGAATATTTTTCCGCATTACGGGGTTGTGAAGATTGTTAAGTTACACATTTTTTTGAAAGCATGAATCGATCAATGTTAGATCACCATTAGAAACCTGGAGGCAGTGGACGGTCGTTTCGTCCTGGTATGGGACTCCTGCACCCCGTAGGATTAGAACCCAGGACCTTCGGCTGTTTGCGCGAACGCCTAACCATCGGACCACTGAGCCGGTATCTCACGGTGTTAATGTCTAACTTCATCAATATTTTTTTACTGACCTTAAACAATACATTCGACAAGGTTCTTCATAAGATAAAGACTAGTTAGTAAAAAATATCTTCGGATTTCGTTTTTGAAATAAGCTAAGTTTAATTTGTCACCGTAATCAACGTTGTCAAGGTAGGATGACATAATCGAGTATCGTTCTCACTGACACAGACGCATTTCATCTCCCCTTAAATCTTCATGTTTAGAATGAGTGTATACTTTCCTATTCTGCCAGTTAATTCCTACCTTTTGAAATCATATTGACTATGGTTTAATTCTTGGTACTGTCATTTTTAGCGTGACTACATTACTAAATCATGAGTCGATCGATTAGAAACGTGGAAGCACTAGACGGTCATTTCATTCGGGTATGGCAATCATCAGCAATGCTCATCCACAACTCCTGCTACTTGCAGGATTCAAGCGCAGATCCTTCGGTCTTACGCTTGAACGCTTAAGCTCTGGACCACTGAGCCGGCAACCAACGGTATTAATATCTAACTTCGATCAATCCACTGTGCACTGCTGATAAGTCCCATACCAGGATGAAACGGTCGTTCAGTGCTTCTAGGTTTCTAATAGTATGGTCTAACCTTGATCAATTCATAATTTCAAACGTGTAACTTAACAATCTCCACAGTCCTTTAAAGACAAAAATCTGATATTTTTCTCAATAATTTCTTTTAACTATGCTTATTTGATATGACATATGTCCGATGTTATTTTACTGTTGATGTTTATGTGATTAATGACAAAGGTTAATTATAGATGTTTCTATATATATATATATATATATAATATCATACAACATATGATTTCATTATAGTTGGTACTAAAAATTCTTTTATAGTAGAGAGTATACTATTATTGATTATTATTATTATTATTGTTAAAGCACCCAATGCTTAGCATATAATTAATATGATTAAGTTTTAAAAAATGGAACTTTTCAAGGTTAAAAGTTATTTGATTTCTTTTTTTTTGTACTTTTAGTTTTCTTATTTAGTTTCATGTAAGACTAATGGTAATACTGTAGTGAACGAGAACACAGGTGAGGACAACCGGATTGTATTTAACGAAAATTACAGGGTTATTCAGTAAAATCGGAAAACCATATCGTAAATCGTTCATTTGCAAATCTTCATCATCATCATCAATCCATTGTCTGACATTTCACTCACTATTCATGTGTTTCATACAAATTCCATTGTGTTCCCACTCTTCTTCCTTTCTCTTGATGTTCCCCCATCTTCTGCTGCCAGACATTACGTTGACACTCACGTCATATACTACTTATAAGTAGCTCACACCATAATACCATTAACTTTCGCAATATTCATTACTTACTTAATAGAGAACAAGTAATTCTTGTTATGTCAGAAGCATGATATCATTAGATTAAAGAAAAAATAGTCAGTCATTTTGTTCTAATATGGGTTTTTTTTAAACAAAAAATTCTCGTGAATTAGAAATTGTAACAAGCTGATAGGTGTTGTGTTTTTTGTGGTGGTGTGTCGTTCTCTGAGCTGGTTGTTTTAGTTGTGGGGCTTTCATTGTCCTTCTGAACAACATCATCAGCTGATAAGTATTTGCAAAGTTTTTTGTGTATATTATGCGTTTTTCGTATACTGAGTCAAATTGACTTGTAAATTTGGTCAATAATTAAAAACCAATTGTCGTAGCAATGGAAAAACTATCTCATATTATTTTGACATTGATCCGACTTACTGACTGATCTATCTATTTTGTACGTTAGTAAACTGTTGATCTTGAATGGACTGTCGCGGGTGACAGGGTATCGATCACAAGATCAAATATAATGACTGAGTGTTTAGTGCTGGTGATTTGTGCGACTCCTTTTTTTTACCGCTGTTATTAGTGTTGCTTTGGTATGAAAATGTGTGCTTGAGCATCGGTTAATGCCTACGTGTATAGTCACTCTACTAGTGTGGTGCGAGCTACTTATAAGTAGTATATGACCTGAGTGCCAACGTAATGTCTGGCAGCAGAAGATGGAGGAAGATCAAGCAAGAAAGGAAGAGATAGAACACAATGGAATTTGTATGAAACGCATGAATAGTGACAATGGATTGATGTTGTTTGCAACAGGAACAGTCCAGTTAGATAGGATGAACTGATATTTTGCAAATGAACCATTTACGATATGGTTTTGCAATTTTACTGAGTAACTCTGTAATTTTCGTTAAATACAATCCCGTTGCCCCACCTGTGGTCTTCTCGTTCACTACACTAGTTTTAATGTTAGTGGCTGAAATATTTTAATGACTCATTCATTCTTCCTATACCTACATGTACACTGTAATCCTACTCGTCCGCATTCGCTTGCCATTTCACATCGTATGCTTGTGGCTTTGTGATCGGTGTGGTACGATAACAAACATTATCGACTGTTCGTATTCTTCTTATGAATTGTATACACCATTGGTTATCAGGATGATCAGTATACGAAATTTAGGAATTATATTGAATATCCACCGTCACAGGTTACTTAGTTCATAAATTCACTTTATCACCACAATTCCATATGCCTGATTGCTCTGACTCTTTCAAATACGACTCGCTATTACAAGATTGATGATCACTGTTATAGGTTGACGAGAGATAAGAAACTAATTCAAACTGAAACATAGACACAGGTAAATTTTCTAGTTTTCAATGTCCATGTTTTTCATCGAAAAAGATCGTACTAAATAAGTATGCATCAGTTCATTGCACGCTTCGTAATATTGAACTATACTATCAGTCGAGATCAAAAGCTTATAATAAATGGTCATCTGGTTTGGCGAGAAACATACACTTCTAGCATTGGACTGATAACTCCACTACAGCATAAACCATTAAGGCAACATCAAGTAACTTGATAGTTGCTTGATGTGTGGCAGTGAAAGAAAAATGTGTTTGATCATCCAGCATGGACAAACAGGCATAGCCTATTGACTATTAAATATGCGATTACATTTCTTCTTATTGATCTCTACTCTGAACTCAATGAATGTGACTGTGTCTATCGCTAACTGTGGTCCTTTATTTTGGTTGGGAATTCTGTATCTGGTTGGACATGATGTAGTGTGGTGTACCATTGAACTATCGGTTTCAGTGGTCACATTATACAATACAGAGAATAAAGAATATATCAAAACACTCCGTTATATCATTACTGAATTTTTATACTCTAGTCACTCTATAAAGCTAATAATAACAGACTAAACTGTTTTGTTTCACAATTCACAGTATTTTTTTCATACAATCATCTCATCTACAATGGGGATTGTAGTATTTTTCAACAGACTTTCATCATCGCTTTAACTATTACTTTACTTTTATTACTAGAACTAGTTAAATTTTTAAGTACAATAGTAAATTTTACTGTTTTTTTTTAATATTGACGTTGATCACTCACTGACTGTTGTATCATACCACAACAACGCATAACAAACTTTTAAAGGAATCAAATTAGTTTTCACGTTAGTTTCATTGAAGTGATACATACATGAATTAGATTGAACGAATTTTATTATTAACATTAAGTAATTATCTAGTTCAACTGTATATGATGGAGTGGAAACTTGGACAACTCCGAAAGTCATCATCCAGAAGATATAAGTGTTTATTAACAGTTATCTATGCTAAATACTTCGGATCTGGTTTGGCCACACATTGTTAGTAACAACCTACTGTTGGAGAGAATAAATCAGATACTAGCGGAGAAAGAAATCAGGAAAAATCGCTGGAGGTGGACTGGACACACATTGAGGAAAGCACCCGCAACTGCGTCACAAAACAAACCCTCACTTGGAACCCTCAAAGGAAGACCGAAAGACAAATTACGCCAAGAAATAAATGTAGACATGAGAAGAATGAACAGCAATTGGTTGGGACTGAAAAAGAAGGCCTATGACAGTAGGTTGGAGAATGCTGGTCTTTGGCCTATGCTCCATTGGGGGGGAGTAACAAGCGTAAGTAATAAGTAATTATCTACTTCTCAATGAGAAAAAAATATTCATACCTTTTTTGAATTCACTACACTATTGAATTTTAATAATTCGTAATAAATTTTTTTTTTTTTTTTAGGTGCATACTACTTCTCAATCTCGAAATATTCGTCTAGTAAGATTACGTAATCCATGGGGTAATGATCGTGAATGGTCAGGTCCATGGAGTGATCAATCTAAAGAATGGAGAAATATACCACCGGATGAACGTAAACGAATTGGTCTCACTTTTGATGAAGATGGTGAATTTTGGTAAATATTCTTCTTCTTCTTCTTCTTACAAATGTTTTGTTTTGACTAACAACGTAATGTCTCAATCACTTCTTTATTTCAGTCAGTCAGATGCAACGTAGAACTTCGTAAGTAAGTACATCAGTTCATGTCGCCATAACACATCAGTACAGAGGTGTAATAGTTGATTCAAATCCAATAGTAGAAGAGTTAGTAAAGGTATTAGAAGTAATCAGAGAGGTTAGGATGAGAAGATATTATTCAAGAAGTATGTATGATTCAGTGAGAAAAGTTTAGAAAGTCAAAACTAGGGGGGGGTTGAAGAACCCAGAAGATTAGGATTTGAGAGAACACAAAGAATAAATGCACTGGCGCCATTGCAAACGATTTTGAGCCATGTCATTCAGGGTATCTAACCATCGATTATTATCATCTCGCGGACCCCAACCAGGTAGTCGACAATTACCGACATGGCTAAGTCCACTTGTCAATGACTTCATGGATTTCTGTCATGTTTTGGTTTGGCCGCCCCTAACTTTCTTCCAACCTATTCCTACACTACAAAAACAAAGCTCTTCGAGGCAGTCGGTAGTTAGGCATAAACAACACATGTCCCAACCGGCTCAACTGATGAAGTCTCACTACTGCGTCTATTGATCTGCCATTCTTATCTAGCACCCGATTCCTAATAACAGCGTTACTCACTCGGGTGTCCCACGATATACAAGCAATGCTTCGAAGACCCCTATGATCGAAAACAAGAAACCTACGAATATCTTCTACTCTCACTGGCCATGTTTCACAGCCATTAAGTAAGACGGAGCGAACCACTGCACAGTACACTCGTCCTTTAGTCAGCAAACGGATATCTCGCCTTCGCCATAAATGATGCAGGTTGGCGAAAGCCAATCAAGCCTTCTGTATCCGAGCTGAGATTTCGTCAGTCACCAGGCCATCGGCACTTATGAGACTCCCAAGATAAGTAAAGCGGTCTACACGTTCGACTACTTCACTCCCTATCACTAGTTCAGGTGCCGATGAAACCCAATCTTGAAGCAACATTTTGCATTTGGAGGGTGAGAACCGCATCCCGAACATGCTTGCATTGTTGCTTAGGGTGATCAGAAGACTCTGCATTTTGTCAGCGTCTTCACCAAGTAGGACAATGTCATCGGCATATTCTAAGTCAATAAGCGAGCCACCTGGTAAAAGGTCTACTCCAGAAAATTCAGACGAGGATAAGGTTATTTCTAAGAGCATGTCTATGATAAAATTAAACAAGAATGGAGAAAGTGGACATCTCTGACGGACACCACTTGAAGTAAAGAATTCCGTTGACAGTTCGCCATAAGCTCTCACTCGACCAGTAATGTTCGAGTAGAGAGCTTGTATGAGGTTAATGTACTTCACTGGTACACCTTTATTTATTTATTTATTGGAAGAAGATTCACTGTTGATGTTGACAGAATTTATTTATGACACATCTGATCCACAATCTTCAATGCGTATTTAAGATCTGTCATTTTCTTGTGCTTCTAATGAGTAAATATTGCAGTTTTCAGTGAAAAATATATTCTTTCTTATATACAATAGCATTAACACTGTCTATGGATAAAGAATTGCTAAATGTCATAGTTTTATTGAACATTGAAAGAAAGGATTATTTTGCGTTACTCTTATCTGAAAGCTAAATGTGTTACGCCTGCACGTAAGCACATGATTTTGATATGCTTGAACTATTACGAGTTTACCAAGTCGGAAAACGAGAGCGAAGATCCGGTGACACGACATGCTACTCAAATCCGATTTTCCCAACCCCCATATTGAGTGAAAATGAGAAGACTTGATATGAAGTAGAACCTGTATTCTACAAGCATCCAGAAAGTACGAGGTCCGGATTCAGAAGAGAATCAGGATTCCGAACTCGGAATCCGGGACCGGGTCCTGGTCCTGGTCGTGGTCATAAAATGTTACAGATAATGCGTATTTATACATTTTGGTCGATTAGGAAACAGCATCGAAGTCTGTGAAATCGACTGTTAAGACGACCAATAGGAAGCAACATTTGAAGTAACATTGATAGTCAGGATAACCAATAAGCAATCACATTGGAGCACGTGACATTGATATCTAGGACGACCATAAAATTGACCAGTAGGAATTAACCAATAGTAATTGACCAATAATTCTCTTAGAATATTGGATGAATATCCTAACCTCACCCTCTGAAGAAATTGAAGCGACACACGACGGTTTATTTGGATCTGGACTGTTGTTTGCTGCTGTTGGGGAGGATATTTCTGGAACGGAGATGAGGACCAGTCTTGGGTACTTCTGAGGGGGTTGGCTTCTTCTTATATGCTTGATGGGACATCTGCTAATGTTAGCTGTTTGAACCAATCTAACAGATTGATTTTAGATCGGCTATCGGATTGAGATGAAGTGAGGTGGGCTGGATGTTGCAGGGTGCACAGCTACTCTGGTTAGTTGACAGATACAATACACAACGTCAGATTGACTTGATCCACCATAGTCGTGTCACGATGCAGCTTGGTATCCATCAACATCTTCATTAATTCAGCTGCTGCTCGGGTAATAATTCAAGTCTCAAAGGATCAATGTGATCCCATCCCCGTCGCCAAATTTGTTACGCCTGCACGTAAACACGTGATTTTGATATGCTTGAACTATTACAGGTTTACCTAGTCGGAAAACGCGAACGAGACAATTACCAGCGTCCAGATAGGCTACCTTAAATCCCAAGCTGAATACAGAAGGTTTTGTAAGCGTAGAAAGTATATTCTACAAACACCCAGCAATCACAAGGTTCTTCCTTAACCGAAATCGTATAGCACTGAAAAAATTCATCATTTTTTTTAAAAATTTTTATTCATTCTTCTTCATAACAAAATATAATTCGACCAATATGTTATTTATGTACATTAAATGATCACTTTTTTTCAGTATTTGCATACAAACAGTGTTCCACATATCATTTAAGAGCTAACATCAAATAAAAATACAAGTGATTCTTAAAACCAAAAGAAATCAAGGCTGTTGGTAAAGTATCTTTTTTTTTGACAACCTTCAACGATCTTGTTTGTGACTAATTTGGTGTCACATGTTGTTACGAATATAAGGACGGCCAAATCAAAACATGGCACAAATCCAAGAAATCACTGGCAAATGGACTGAGCCATGTTGGTAGTTGTAGACTCCCTGGTTGGTGTCCGCAAGGTAATAGTAACCGATGGTTAGGAACCTTGAACGACATGGTTCAAAAACGTTTGCAATGATGGAGGTACATCCATTCTTTGTCTCCTCTCAAATTCGTAATCTTCAAAATTCCTCATCATCTCTATCTTTCTCTTTCTAAAGTTATCTCACGGAATTATACTTCTTGAATCATATCTTCGAACCCTAATCTTCTCCATTACTGCTAATACTTCTACTATCTCTACCACTATGGGATTTGAACTGACAGTTACGTCTCTGTGTTGACGGGGTATGGCAACCTGAACTTATGTACTCATGTACGAAGTTCTACGTTGTAACTGACTGACTGACTGACTCAAGATCTTGTTCTGGCAAAACATTCTCCTATCTTATAATTTAATCAACATACTTTTATACAAAGTTAAAGTAATCATCCTATTTCTCCTCTTCAAGGATGTCTTTCGATGATTTTGTACGTTATTTTTCACGTCTGGAATTATGTCATCTTGGACCAGAATCGGTAGCTTATAGTCCAGGACCAAATAATCGTCGATGTGAAAACCGTCGATGGCAAATGATATGTGAAGAAGGTGAATGGTTACGCAATTCCACTGCTGGTGGTTGTTCTAATTTCCCCGATAAGTATATAGATGTTTTTTTAAGAATATTAAAGATTCCTATTTGTGAAAATTATAACAACACAGATAAGCGAAAGCGAACAATATTACTGGTTTTCGATCATAGGTGTCTTCGATGCATTGCTCGTTTATCCTGGGACACTCGATTGAGCAACGCTGTTATTAGGAATTGGGTGCTAGGTAAGAATGGCAGATCAATAGATGAAGTAATGAAACTTCATCAGTTGAGGCGGTTGGGACATGTGCTGCGTATGGCTAACCATCGACTGCCTAGTCGAGCTATGTTTTGCAGTGTAGGTGTAGATTGGACGAAAGCTAGGGGTGGCCAAACTAAAACATGGCAGAAATCCATGAAGTCACTGACAAGTGGACTGAGTCATGTCGGTAACTGTCGACTACCTGGTTGGGGCCTGCGAGATGATAATAATCGATGGTTAGAGACCTTGAATGACATGGCTCAAAACCGTTTACAATGGCGCCGGTGCATTTATTCTATGTGTTCTCTCAAATCCTAATCTTCTGGATTCTTCAACACCTCTAGTTTTGACTTTCTAAACTTATCTCATTGAATCATACTTCTTGAATAATATCTTCTCATCCTAACCTCTCCGATTACTTCTAATACCTTTACTACCTCTTCTACTATTGGATTTGAATTGACAATTACATCTCTGTGCTGATGTGGTATGGCAACATGAACTGATGTACTTACGTACGAAGTTCTACGTTGCATCTGATTGACTGACTGACTGACTGATACTCTAATATATACATGAATATTTTCATGTGAAAATGTTAAACCAATCAAGGCAATTTATCATGATTGAATAATCACAATGAAATGAAATAGATTACGTTACTACATATAATAGGCAAAATTACAAGTTGATAATATAGGAAGACAGGTGAGTAATGATAGAGTAGTAAGAAAATTATAAAATACAGTAACAAAAGTTTTATCAATAGTAGGTCGAATATGGATAAAGAGACTTAGAATAATCAATACAAAACATTAAAACCATTACGTAATAAGAAGTGTTTAAATTATAATTATATAGTGAAGAATATATGGTTTCAAAAATGTGTAACTTAACAATCTTCACAACAACCCCGTAATGCAAATTACCTGTGCTCACTAGTGACGACTAGCTTGATGAGGAATCCTCTCCGAGTTCTAGTGAGAAGACGTGACCAGTGAAGTTCAACTTGTTCGGGTGTAGACAGTAACTATTACCGAAGACTGTGTATGAGGTTCCGCAACTCCGTGAATTTGATCAAGTTAGACATTAACACCGTTAGATACCGGCTCAGTGGTCCGATGGTTAGGCATTCGCGCACAATACCGAAGGTCCTGGGTTCGAATCCTGTGGGGTGCAGGAGTCGTGGATGCACACTGCCACTGAGGAGTCCCATACCAGGACGAAACGGCCGTCCAGTGCTTCCAGGTTTCTTCTAATGGTGGTCTAACATTGATCTCGATTCATTGTTTCAACAATGTGTAACTTAACAATCTTCACAATCCCGTAATGCGAGTAAAGCCTGATGACGATCTAATCGAAAAACAATATTGTTCGCTTATATATATGTTTTATCAGTATTATATTTCGATCCATGAAAAAATTTCTATCATATTTAGGAGCGCAGATTAAAAAAGAAACAATAAATGCTTATTTTCGATAAATTCTCTTCTCTTCAATGTCTATTATTAATAATCCCAAAAAGTAACCGCCAAGTATAAGGTAAATTAATTCGTTTCAAACTATATAGCACATATGAAATTAGGATTGTTTGTGAAATAAAATATAATTGTTAATGTTGAAATGACTAGTATCTAGTGTCAAGTTAAATAAGTTTATATGTTTGCTAACCATGTTAAATCTACATGCTAAAATCTTAAACGATGTATGTATATAGCTTAAACCTTGTCAGGTTTTTGATTATGAATTTGAAGAGAATTTATTGGAAAGAATATTCTAAGTTCTTATATCTATGTTTTTAAATATGTTATACCTTATTGTACAACCAAGGAGTAAATATGATTTGAAAATATGTTTTTAAATAGCTTCTTTCAGCAATTATAATCAATCAATCATAGTTAGACCACCATTAGAAACTTGGAAACACTGTACGGCTATTTCTTTCAGGTAGGGGACTCATCAGCAGTGTACACTCACGACTCCCACTAATCGCAGGACCTCCGGTCTTGATCAATCTAGAAATTTTGCGATACTTCACCCATTTGTCTTCGGTAGTTACTGCCTACAACTGACAGGGTGGTCTAACAATTGTTGACTGATGATTTTAATGTGTAGAAATATTGATCTCCATAACCCTAGTCTAAGAAAAATTGATGATCAAATTATATACTTTAATAAAACCATACATTGATTTCATTTAGACCATCCTTTAAAAGCTGGATGCACTGCATAGCTGTTTTGTTCTAATATAGGACTCTTCAGCGGTGCTCGTCCACGAACCTGCATACGCGAATCGAACGCAGAACTTTTAGTTTCACATGTGAATGTGATGTTTTTAATGATGGTTTAAGTGAAATCGTTTCATTTTTTTGTCAATCAATATCAACAATCTCCACATCTCCTTACAACAGTACTGTGTACTGTTAAATGCTAACGAATATTTACCATTATTTGAACAATTTATAGCGTCTAGTTATTATTACGATCATATTGAATAAAGTTGTTTATTTCCGAGTGAATTTTTAGCTAGGGGCAGCCAAACTAACACAAGGAAGAAATCCATGAAGTCACTGACAAGTGGACTGAGTCATGTCGGTAGATGTAGGCTATCTGGTTGGGGTCCGCGAGATGATAGTCACCGATGGTTAGAGACCTTGAACGACATGGCTCAGAATCGTTTGCAATGGCGCAGGTGCATCCACTCTTTGTGTTCTATGAAATTCTAAGCTTCTGCATTCCTCATAATCTCTACCTTTCTCCTTCTAAATTTATCTTACTGAATTATACTTTTCGAATCATATCTTCGCTACCTGATCTTCTTCATTACTGCTAATAATTCTACTATCGCTAATCACTCTTGGATTTGAACTAACATTTGCGTCTCTGTGCTGAAATGGTATGACAACCTGAACTGATGTTCTTATGTACGAAGTTCTGCGTTGTATCTGTCTGTCTGTCTGGGTGAATTTCTAGAGCTTTTGATTTCCAAATATCAAGTTACATATAGTAACCACTAAAACCATCCGCTTTGGTTTGTGTAAACCGAGTTATATTTTTCTAATAAGACTTCTAACTTTATTCTACGTATATATATTTAATTTTAACTGTTGATCCATTAGTAAACATTTTAGGTTCTCTATCTGGCGTACTTACCAGCTAGAAATTTTAGTGAAATATATCAATATAAGAATCATTTTAGGATAAAATAGATTTCCTCAATGTTGTATGAGTAAGCGATGCTTTTATTAGGAAACGGGTGCTACGTATGGATGGCAGATCAATAAATGAAGTAGTGAAATTCCATCAGTTGGGATATGTGTTGCGTATGCCCAACTACCGACTGCCTCGTTGAGCTATATTTTGCGATGTACGAGTAGGTTGGGAGAAAGTTATGGGCGGCCAAGCCGAAACATGGCAGAAATCCATGAAGTCAGTGACAAGTGGACTGAGTCATGTCGGTAGGTGTCGACTACCTAGTTGGGGTCCGCAAGAAGAAACTAACCGATGGTTAGAGACCCTGAATGACATGGTTCAAAAGCGTTTGCAATGCAAATCCTAAACTTTTTAATTCTTCATCACTTTATCTTTATCTTTTCAAGTTTATTTCACTAGATTCTACTTCATGAATAATATCTAATCCTAATCTCTCCGATTAATGCTCATGCTTTTTTACTACCTCTTCTACTATTGGATTTGAATTGACAATTACATCTCTGTGTGCTAATCTGGTATGACAACATGAACAATGTTGTATACTGTCCATGTTATTATTAGAAAACATAATTATACCGTATGTTTTTTATTCTAAAACAATTTATTTTCATAAAAACGTTCTTTCCTATGTATCAAATCATTTACTGGGATCTACTAAACGCTAGTAAGAAGGTGAATCTTTAGTTGTACTGTGTTCGTATGTAGAAATTTGGTATCTGAAGATACTTTTTACCATGAAGGACGTCGATATAAGCATAACTGTTATCCAAAAAATTTGCTGATCATATTTCTTTTGCAGATACATTTTATATGAATCCACAATTTCATGTTCAAGTTGTGGATCCAGATGAATCCGACGATGATGGTTATGGAACTCTTGTTGTTGGTTTAATGCAAAAAGGTTTGCGAGAAAAACACATTGAACCTCATGTGATTGGTTATTCGGTATTTCGGGTAAGAATTTATTCGATCATGCAATATAAGAATGAAATGATTAACAGCTTCGTAATTGTTCAACAAGTATTTTTTTGTCTAGCACTACCATCCATTTTTTAGAATCACTTATTTAATGAATATTTCATACCACTGTGTAATTTTCAGTAGATGCAACGTAGAACTTCGTACGTAACTACATAAGTTCATGTTGCCATACCACATCAGCACAGAGATATAATTGTCAATTCAAATCCAATAGTAGTAGAGGTAGTAAGGGTATTAGAAGTAATCGGAGAGGTTAGGATTAGAAAAGAAGTATGATTCAGTGAGAAAAGTTTAGAAAGGCGAAACTAGAGGGGTTGAAGAATCCAGAAGATTAGGATTTGAGAGAACACAAAGAATAAATGCACCTGCGCCATTGCGAACGGTTTTGAGCCATGTCATTCAGGGTATCTAACCATCGATTATTATCATCTCGTGGAGTCCACTCGTCAATGACTTCATGGATTTGTGCCATGTTTTTGCTTGGCCGCCCCTAACTTTCTTCCAACCTATTCCTACACTACAAAACAAAGCTCGACGAAGCAGTCGATGGTTGGGCATACGCAACAAATGTCCCAACCACCTCAACTGATGAAGTGTCACTACTGCTTCTATTGATCTGCCATTCTTACCTAGCACCCGATTCCTAATAACAGCTTTGCTCACTCGTGTGTCCCATGATATACGAGCAATGTTTCGAAGACACCTATGATCGAAAACCAAAAACTGACGAATATCTTCTACTCTCACTGGTCATGTTTCACAGCCATTAAGTAAGACCGAGCGAACTGCTGCACAGTACACTCGTCCTTTGGTCAACAAACGGATATCTCGCCTACGCCATAGATGACGCAGGTTGACAAAAGCCAATCGAGCCTTCTGTATCCGAACTGAGATTTCGTCAGTCACCAGGCTATCAGCACTGATGAGACTCCCAACATAAGTGAAGCGGTCTACACTGGATGTTGAAAATAATTACGGATAATTTCATTCCACATATATTTTCTTCAAAAATATCATTTGTTTTTGTGATCATAATTTTGATTATTTCTGTGCAAAAGTTAAAGTCAACCCGATAGTCAGGTCATTAGAAAAATATTTTATTCCTAATCATTGAGAGATTTTACAAAGACTGTTTTATTTTCAGTGTCACACATTCGTTAGTTTATTAGAGCACCATATGTTTATTTAATTATGGTTATATATATTCTAATACCCCCACAATCCAAATGGAAGATATTCATATATTAAACGACAGTATTATTAGTTTGAACTGAGAAATGAGAAGACATATTTTGTGAGATATCCCACTGTATTTACAGATTCACATGTAACTGCGGAGAAAGTTACTTAGGTAGGACAGATCACCGATTGAAGGACAGGATAGTAGAACATATTCCAAAATAGTTGATCAAATACATGATTCATCAACTTAACCCGTCATCTCAAAATCGATCAAGAAACCCAGCCTCGTCCATTGCAAAACATCTAATGATGAGTGGTCATCAAATTGACCCGAAATCAGCATTTAGAGTTGTCATCAAAACCCACACACACACACTCAAACTACTCGAAGCTATCTTGATTGGTCGGAAAAGTCCAACTTTATGTGTTCAAAAACAATTGTATGTTGAGTGAATGTCATGCTAAATAAGAAATTTTGATCTTATCTTCAAAACTCTATTTACATGGTGCTTGTATGTGACTGACGAGAAAGCACGAAATGGTACTATCTCACAAAACATGTCTTCTCATTTCACTGTTCAAATTTATCAAAGGGAACCACTGCTTTGAATTATTAGTGACAATAAAATATGCATTTTGCAAAATAAAATTCATAATTTTATCGTAGGCATTTGCACACAGTAATGTAAGGTTGTTGAGTTAGTGCTTTTACGAGCAATTACATAGGGATTATGGACAAAAATATGCGATAAGCTGAGCAACCGATCGTCTGTGTCAATTAACAAGTATCAGCAAACAAATCGTAACAAGTATGAAAAATTAAAACCGATAAACAAACGTTTCATTAGCAACAATAAACAAAAATAAACTATGCAGATTATGAAAAGAATAAAATTACAACTACAAATGAATTGACTGTCACTTGAAGTTATTTAGTAAAATAGTGCACTCAACCACAAGTAGACGTGCTAAAAATGATCACAAATGAAGTAAGTTACTGAATATTAGTAAGGAGTAGAAATAGTGCACGAAAATAACTAGCTAAGCAGGAAATGTTAATAATCACTGACAGAATTAACACCTGTATTTTCCCATCATACATCTTTAACACCAGGTAGGTTACCTTATATTAAGTGCTCACATATTATTTTTCAAGGGCACCAGTCAAGTTAATGAATAGTTCATCTGTATTTGAGTATCCTCGATTAAATGCACTGTAAAAAATATCTTTGGCTTCAAACTGAACATAATTGACTTCGAAACTATACATTGGGAGATTAAATACAGTGGATGTAAATTCGTGACACAACTGATTCGTCAGCTACACCTTTATGTACATAACCTCGAGTAAAAATGCATGTGTTAAGGGTTAATGTTACTGTCTCGCTTTCTAAACAATGGCGGATATTTGGGGAATGCTGTAGCCTCTAATTTGAATTTTTGTAAAATAACTGCCTACTTGATTGTTGTGTATAAGTTAAATCGTTTCTCTCCATTTATCAATTCCTTCTTATAGATGAATCCATCATCTCCATACAATCGACTATTAGATCGTAGATTTTTTATGGTTAATACATCGGTAGCTCGTTCACCGGTATTTATAAATATGCGTGAAGTATGTGGTAGGCATAAATTAACACCAGGTCATTATGTAATTATCCCGTGTACATTTAATCCAAATGAAGAAGCTAAATTTATGCTACGTATATTCTCTGAACGACCATGTGATTCAAAGTAAGTAATTATTTGTTCTTATATTATTGTTCTATAAGTGATCATGCTAGATAATAGACTAGCCAGTAGCAAGATGGATAATATGTTTTGTTAGACTCTGTACAAAGAGAGGCAGTGCTATAAGACACTTCGTTAATGATATAACGGGTGTTTTGGTTTTTTCGGGTGATCCATGTTTATAGGCTAATACTGAAATAGATACTCAAACGGCAACCTCACACTGGAAGACTATATCACGTCAAACGAGATACAGGAAATCAATCAACTAAAATAGGGGGACCAGACTCAAGGAAAGAAATACACGATGTTTTATTCCACAACACAATTAAAAACAGTCATACTCAGTGATTCCCGATTAGAAATCATTAAAGAGGAAATGAAATCGAACATATTTATTAGTCCAGGATACCCAGAGGAATCCTTCCAAGGCACCTACAATCGAATACCAGTAACTTACGATTATCCTCTATTCTTATTGGCCATGTTTCACAGCCATAAAGTAAGATAGAAGGAACTGCTTCATAGTAGACTCGTCCTTTGGTTAGCAGACGGGTATCTTACCTTCTCCATAAGTGACACAAGTTGACAAAAGCTAATCGAGCCTTCTGTATCTGAGCTGAGATTTCGTCAATCACCAGGCCATCAACACTGATGAGACTCCCAAGATAGGTGAAGCGGTCGATACGCTCAACTTCTTCATTTTCTATCGCTAGTCCGGGTGCCAACAAAAACCAATCTTGAAGCAACATTTTGCATTTCGACAGGGAGAATCGCATTCCGAACATGCTTGCATTGTTGCTAAGTGCAGTCAGATGATTGCATTTTGTCAGCGTTTTCACCAAATAGAACTATGTGATCAATATATTCTAAATCAACAAGGGAATCTCCTGGTAAAAGTTCAACTCTTGAAAAGTTAGATGATGAAAATGTCGTATCTAAAAGCACGTCAATGACAAAATTAAATAAGAATGGAGAACTCCATATCAAGCAACTATCAACATATATATATATTTCCAGATGTTTTGCTCTTGTTATCTGTTATGCGAACTCCTCAAGTGTACGCACATACGCATACGATTTTGTAAAAAAGCTTATTAATAAACCGAAATTCTCAAAAATTTTTACTGGAATTCACTTAAAGCTCTTGTCATGGAATCATATACACTACGAAAGGCTTAAAATCGTGATGTACTACTATCTTTGCATTCACTTAGAAGTCACCACCATCCATCATTCTAGTCTTCTTTTCTTATTGTATGATATAGATTTTACTGCATTAAACTTCTGGATTCACTTTTAGAATTGATTTATTCCTAAACTTTAATCATGACAAAACTGTATCTTTCGTAAATGTAGCAAACTATTGGTCAGTATCTATCTGATCCAACTTGTGTAAACCTTTACGTCATCATATAAAAATCCTTAGCTTATAAAGTCTTATTGTAGCATTTGAAATCTTGTTACGTCATGAGGTAACTTCATGTTAAACATAAATCAACAATAGAAATGCGAATATCATATCGCTTAACTGATTAGCTCTAGTAAGTGTCTTTCGTTTATGAAAGTATCCTTTGAAATTGTTTAGTATTTCAAGACTATATTTACTGCAACATTCGATAACTAATTGATATGTTCGGGCAGAGGGTTGGAGGTTTTGTGGTTGTACACAGTTGAAATCATCAATCAGTCATTTTTAGACCACCATTAGAAATCTGGAAGCATTGAAAGACGGCCATTTCGTCTTGGTATGGGACTCATCAGCAGTGCGCATCCACGACTCCTGCTCCTCGCAGGATTCCAACCCGGGACCTTCGGTATTGTGCGCGAACGCCTAACCATCGGACCACTGAGCCGGCATCCAACGGTGTTAATGTCTAACTCTGATTGATCTACGGATTTTTGCGCGACCTCACCCATTTGTCTTTGGTAGTTACTGCCTACACCCGACAGGGTTGAACTCCATTGGTCATGTCTTCTCAACTAGAACTCCGAGAATTTCCTTACGAAGGTAGTCACTAGTGAGCACTGTTACGATATTTTCGGGCAGGGCTTTGGAGGTTTTGTGTTTTTATACATTTGAAATCATCACCGTCCAGTGTTTCCAGGTTTCTAATGTTAGTCTAACAATGATTGTTTGATGATTTCAAATGTGTAATTGATATGTCATTTAGTAAGATCTCGTTTCCTAATGGTGAGTAATCAATATCTAAATGAAACATCAAACTATTTAATAACCAAATTAGTTAAACAATATTTAATTATAAAATAATCTGAAATATCAATGAATTAAATTAAAATGTCAGTCATCCAGTTACAACGTAGAACTTCGTACGTACGTACATCAGTTTAGGTTGCCTTACCGTATCATCACAAAGACGTCACTGTCAGTTCAAATCCCGTAGTGGTAGAGATAGTAGAAAAATTAGTGGTAATGGAGAATACTAAGGATGGAAGATATTATTCAAGTATAATTCGATGAGATAACTTTAAAAAGACAAAGATAGAGATGATGAAGAATTCAGAAGACTAGAATTTCAGAGAACACAAAGAACGGTTGCACCTGCACCATTGCAAACACTTTTGAGCCATGTCATTCAAGGTCTCTAACTATTGGTTACTTTCGTCTTACGGACACATTACAATAAATAAAGAGTTCTTAAAATTATTAATTTATAAAGTAGTACATAATGAATCACAGTTAGGATTTATTTTAGTTAATTACGTTTAGAACTCGGAGACAACATTTGAAAGTTAAGCTTCCAAGTTATGAATTGAGGTTAAAGTGAGGAGGTATAGTTCTCTCTGGTCATGTCAACATTCTTTTTATTTATAACGCTGAATCATATCTAGTACGTACAACAAGTTGTTATACTCGTTTCGAAGTATGCTTAAACTATTACGGATTCACCTTAGTCGAATAACGAGAACAAAACAATGAACCAGCATCCAGGTAGGCTACTGTGATCCGATTGTACCAGCAAGAAGTCTTGATATAGCGTAGAAAGTGTATTCTACAAACACCCAGCCAGCACACAATGAATCCAAGCACTCAAATTGCGTTTATTTATACTCTATAGAGACGTCCTTGAGACAGTCACAAAAATATCACACTAAAATGACACAGTAACCAATCACAGCAAAGGATTTTCCTGGTGGGGAAATGTGATCGCAAGGTCAACTGATTGGTCCTTGAAATAAATCCAAAATAAAGATATTTATCAAGCAAGTTCTGGGGATTTAACATCTCCAACACACGTAATCATAGTGTAGTGAAGGAGTGAGGGCAACCGAATTGTATTTAACGAAAATTACAGAGTTACTCAGTAAAATTGGAAAACCATATCGTAAATCGTTCATTTGCAAAATATCAGTTCATCATATCGAACTGGACTGTTCCTGTTGCGAACAACATCAATCCATTGTCACTACTGTTCATGCGTTTCACACAAATTCCATTGTGTTCCCACTCTTCCTTTCTTGATCTTCCCCCATATTGTGCTGCCAGACATTATTACGTTGACACTCACATCATATACTACTTATAAGTAGCTCACACCACAATAGTACGCATCAGGAGTGATTGTGTTGTTTTTTTGTGGATAAAATAAAACGGGAGAGTTACATTGATTTTAGAAAATTTACTCTGACCAAAACATATATCCAATTGATATGCGATAATAATAATAATACTGTATTGTTTTACTCTTTTAAATTTTAGTGAATTAGATGAAGACACTCAAATCAATCTTGTTGTACGAGTAAGTGTTGTTATTGTATATGAGATTTCAACGTAATTTCATTTACCACATATATATACCATATATATTTGTATATTAGTTATTTAGTGAACACTGTATCTATTTGTCGACATCTTATCACACTAGTTCTATACTCACTCATCATACTTAAACGTATTAAATTTGTTAGTTTCGTATTTATTGATTATAAATTAGACAAGATTCAATTTTCAATTAGTTCTAATAAAATACTTCTAACACCTGGTTGGTTGGTTGGCTGTTTTCGTAACATCATGAACACGTGATTTATGAGTCATTGTCATCATTCATAATCAGTAGCAGTAGTAGTAGCCTCTAGGTGTGTTTGTTAACTGTTGATTTGGATTTTCTAAAAAAATATTTTCCTTGTAGTTGTATTTTTAATTTATTCTTTTAAACGTAAATGGATGTATGTATGTATGTATGCGCGCATATACACTGTTTTTATAAATTGCATGATCTAATCAATATGAAAACAGTTAAATATCATCTTTATAATCTGCTGCACACTTATTTACACTACTTATCAATCAAATTAATTAAAACATGATAAAAATCAATTTTATCAGTCAGTCATTGTAGTATGCTATCAATTTTCAAATGACTGAACTAACTAATTAACTGTCAGTCAAACAGTTTAGTGAATTAATTTTAGAAAAAATTGATTAAAATAATGAATTGGTTTTTTAGCTTAAAACTGAATTTATTTAGATAGTTAACATTTGTGGCGATGGATATTTGATACCTTCTTCTTGTACTTTGTGTATCGGTCTTCTGACGATCGTTACCACAGAACGCGTGAGGTGCTACACATTGACTAGATAGTTTATGTTAGTCTGAAACTGTTTGGCATCAATGTCTATCCATGATTCTGTCAGGATTCGAACCTCACAATATTAATGGTGTATCAGTCAGTCAGTTACAACGTAGAACTTTGTACGTAAGTACATCAGTTCAGGTTACCATACCACATTAGCACAGAGACGCAGCTGTCAGTTCAAATCTCATGGTTGTAGAGATAGTAGAAGTATTAGCAGTGATGGAGAAGATTAGGTTTCTAAGAACTTATTCAAGAGGTATAATTCAGTGAGATAAATTTAGAAAGACAAAGGTAGAGGTGCTGACGAATCTAGAAGATTCGGATTTGGGAGAACACAAAGAATAGGTGCACGTGCATTATTGCAAACGATTTTGAGTCGTGTCATTCAAGGTCTCTAACCATTGGTGACTTTCATCTCACGGGCCCCAACCAGGTAGCCTACATCTACCAACATGACTCAATCCACTTGTCAGTGACTTCATGGCCGCCCCTAGCTTTCTTCCAATCTACTCTTACACCACAAAACATAACTCTTAATGGTGTATCGGTTTTCTTCAGTTTGGCAAAATCGGTAATAGTCTATTATTTTTCAACTTGAGTTAGTTTGTAATGTAGCCTACTTATCATTGATCAGTCTACAAGACGATTCTTTTTTTGGTTTCATGAAGAAACATCATGTAATAAATTTTTCTCAAATGTATCTTCATGTTTATCATTTACCATTGAGTAAAATCAACAGTTAATTCATCATATTTATTTTAATTCAGTTTATTAGTTTGGTATTCCTCGAAAATGTTGTGGCATTTGTGTATAGTTAGATGTTTTCATATCTTCACACTTTTTATAGAATATACTTTGAAATTCTCAAACACATTATCATATAAAAGGATGATAACTTTTTGAATTATCAGAAATAAGGTGTAATCTGAAAGTATTATTATAACAATCGTTCATTGTCTTTTGTCCTTGATCATTAATATGTTAGTTAATAAATAAATGAACTGGGAATTTTTGGGACACAATCCCGTATGTTAATTGTCGGTTTAGTATAGGGGATTTGTAGAGATTAATGTATTTTCTCAATTGAAACCATCATTTGATCTTAAGTAGACTAACTATCATTGAGAACTGAAAAACATCGGTTTCATGATAGTATGGGACTCCAAAACAGTGCTCATCCACGCACGACTCAGCACGCAGGAATAGAACTTGGAACCTTCGATCTCGCGCGCGCGAACACCTAACCTCTAGACCACTAATCCAGCACTGAGTAATGTTAATGTATAACTCCAATCAATCCACAGTCTTATGTAAATTTACATTCCCTACCATGGATAGTTACTTCATATCATACTTGGACTAAACTTCACTGATCAGTGATTCTCATTAGAACTCCGTGAGTTACACCGTAAAGCTAGTCACTATTTGAGTACATGAGAATCATTATTGGTGATTGTATTATTTTTTCCAAATTATTGAACTTTCAAAAAAACCAAATTTATCCATTCATTTGCTTAAAGTACTTTAAGTGCAATAGATGTAAAGGCGTTCAGATTACAATCACAAGGTCACACAGGTTCAGACGCTACTCCATCCAAACGAGTAGTAGTGTATTTAGCCGTCATACTGAGTGTACCTGCAAGCCATGTATACATATATGTTACCTGACAATTTACATAGAAGAATACTATTTTTTACTACGTATTAGCGAAAAAAAAATGAATGAATGAAATTTACCATAAATAAATCAATCATTAACACTAACATTAACAGTTTAATCGATTCAGACAAAATAATACCAAATGAACTCATTGTTATTTGGTATGATTAAAATCAGTAAGTAAGTAAGTAAGTAAGTAGTTGATGAACGTAACCATTAAGTTGTTATTAAGGGGTCAGAAGTTCAAGTAAACTTCTATTCTACTTGTTCTAATTTTATATATTTAATTAGCATCAAAATGATATCGATCTATCTCAAATATATATACACAATTGTAGAGACATAAATTTAGACATTTAAGTATATATTTTTGAAACCATGAACCGATCAATGTTAGACCACCACGCGGATGCGCACTGCTGAGGAGTCCCATACCGGGACGAAACGGCCGTCCAGTGCTTCCAGGTTTCTAATGGTGGTCTAACATTGATCGATTCATGGTTTTCAAAAATGTGTAACACCTAACAATCTTCACAACCCCGTAATGCAAATTACCTGTGCTCACTAGTGACTAGCTTCGTGAGGAATCTTCTCCGAGTTCTAGTGGGAAGACGTGACCAGTGAAGTTCAACCTGTTCGGGTGTAGGCAATGTCAACCGAAGACTGTGTATGAGGTTGTGCAACTCCGTGAATTTGATCAAGTTAGACATTAACACCGTTAGATACCGGCTCAGTGGTCTATCGGTTAGGGCGTTCGCGCACAATACCGAAGGTCCTGGGTTCGAATTTGGCGGGATGCAGGAGTCGCGGATGCGCACTGCTGAGGTGTCCCATACCAGGAAGAAACGACCGTCCAGTGCTTCCAGGTTTCTAATGGTGGTCTAACATTGATCGATTCATGGTTTCAAAGTTGTGTAATTTAACTATATCTAACTAAGCATTCCTCCACTACATTCATTGTACAGTAGTAGAGTTGTTCATTGAAAATCTGTATTACTAATTTGATATAATTTAAAATTCATTCTGAAGATCAATCAATAATCTATCTATCTATCTATCCAATGTGAATGATAAATTATTATGTCGTGATGATATACAATATATAATCATCAAACTAATCGGTATATTATTATTTCACATGAACATATTCATGAAGTTACTGAATACTCGGACTGAGTCATGTTAGTTAATGTAGACATACTACCTGGTTAGGGATCTGTGAGATGATATATAACCGATGGTTAGAGACCTTGAATGACATGGCTCAAAATCATTATATATATATATATATATATATATATATATATATATATATATATATATATATATATATATATACATATATACATATATAATGAGGAAAATTACAGAGTTACACAGTAAAATTGGAAAACCATATCGTAAATCGTTCATTTGCAAAATATCAGTTCATCATATCGAACTGGACTGTTCCTGTTGCAAACAACATCAATCCATTGTCACTATTCATGCGTTTCATACAAATTCCATTGTGTTCCCACTCTTCTTCCTTTCTTGATCTTCCCCCATCTTCTGCTGCCAGACATTATGTTGACACTCACGTCATATACTACTACTTATAAGTAGCTCGCACCACATATATAGCGTACATAGTATGGCGACTGACCGCCATAGCTCATCAGATGAATTCACTTTTTTTTTCTCCTACTTTCTCTAGGAGCCTAATTTCATAGTTATTTTATACTGTCTTATTCTGTGACTATATTCTTTCTACTTAAATCCCCTATTATTTAAACTGAATCGTTTATACTACCACTGATACTGTCATTACTTTTGTTACGCATGCACATAAACACGTCACTTGATATGCTTGAATTATTACGAGTTCAGCTTGGTCGGTGAACGAGAGCGACGATCCGACGACACGATAGGCTACTCTAATCCGATTGTCCCAACTCCCCCCCCCCCATTGAGTCGAAGGAGAAGACTTAATATGAAGTAGAACATGTACTCTACAAGCATCCAGACAGCACGAGGTTCGAGTCCATAAGAGGATAAGAATCCCGAACTAAGGATCCGGATCATAAAACGTTACAGATAATGCATATTCATACAGTTAAGTCGGATAGGAAACAACTTTCAAGTATGTGATATTGATAGTTAGGTCTACCAATAGGAATCGATCAATAGAGCTAGACTTACAAACAATTCTCTTAGGATATTGGATGAATATCCTAACAACTTCTACTCTAGCTTTTATTTTCATAATTTCATCTTTCCTATGGTTTTATGGTTTGGGAATTTGAAATGACCCATATGTGCGCCAAACTCTGCGTTACATATGTCTGATTGTATAAAGCATAATTCTCTTTCAGAACGTAATTCTCCAGGCTAACAATAAAACTATCTCTCTTTGCCTATTTTTAATCACATCTGTTTATTTAATGTTCTAGCACAATAGTAGAATGTAGTAAGTAGGCTTTTTTGTTTCATTAACCCTACACTTTAATGATTAGATATAGATTTAGTATTTCTCTATTATTATTAATATTATTTTCAACCTGTTGACATTTTTGTCTATGATTCTGTTTTTGTTTTTTCTTTAAATTATTTCTATTTAATTGATGATATAGCCTGATGAACCAATTAAAACAGCTGATGAAAGTTTAATTGAGAAATTACAAGTTGTTTTCAATAGAATAGCTGGCCCAAGTGGAGCTATTACATATACTCAGCTACAAGATATATTAAATGAAGCATTCACAAAAGGTAATCAATCATTTTTAGTAGTAGTAGTAGTAGTAGTAGTCGTAGTCGTAGTGCGGTGTGAGCTACTTATAAGTAGTATATGACGTCAGTGTCAACGTAATAATGTCTGGCAGCAGAAGATGGGGGAAGATCAAGAAACGAAGAAGAGTGAGAACACAATGGAATTTGTATGAAACGCATGAATAGTGACAATGGATTGATGTTGTTTGGCAACAGGAACAGTCCAGTTCGATATGATGAACTGATATTTTGCAAATGAACGATTTACGATATGGTTTTCCAATTTTACTGATTAACTCTGTAATTTTCGTTAAATACAATTCGGTTGCCCCACCTGTGTTCTCCTTCACTACATTAGTAGTTGTAGTACTAGTGTAGTGGAGAAGGGCAGCCGAACTGTATTTATCACAAATTACAGAGTTAATTGGTAAAATAGGAAAACCATATCGTAAATTGTTAATTTGCAAAATATCAATCCATCATATCGAACTGTACTGTTCCTGTTGCAGAACATCAATCCATTGTCTGACATTTCACTGTTGTTCATGCGTTTCATACAAATCCCATTGTGTTCCCGCTCTTCTTCCTTTCTCTTGATCTTCCCCCATCTTCTGCTGCCATACATTATTACGTTTTTATTCGCGTCATATACTACTTATAAGTAGCGCGCACCACAGTAGTAGTATTAGTCAGTTTACGTCTACACAAACTAAAATGTTTAATATTATTAATCTGTATTATTTTCACTTAATCCATTGGTCAGGTTAATGACTGACCCTTGTACGTCATAAATGAAAGCATATATAAAGTCATATATATATTTGTATTATAGTAGTTAGTTCATTTACATGTTACATACAATAAAAGGGAAAACTATATTTATTTTTGTAAGAGATAGAGACAGAATGATTTAGTTTTTGTGTATTTGCCGAGTCAATAATTTTCAATCCTTATCAAGGTCATATATAGTGTTGACCTGTAAAATGTGAACAATGTTTTCACGTCCCCTACGCTTATTTCTCATATGTGTGTAGTGTGTAGCAATATCGTCAAATCTCATTCAATATATATATATATATGTATGTATGACGTATAACCAGTTATGACTGTAGGTGAATATTTATTGACCTTATAATATCTAATCATGTGTATGTCTGTAGCTGTAATCGATTGAACATTGTAGTTTTGTTACTAAAACAATAAGAAACACATGTCTAAGTTATTTAGAGTAACATTTCTGAGGTTATCTGCCATCTTATCAATGTACTACTGTGTGTTGTGCCTAGCACTTTCAGGAAATTGTTCGAATCATTTAAGCGGTGTTGTTAAGTTCGTCACTAGGTACGCTTGAAGCTATTACGAGTTCACCTTAGTCGATAAACGCGAACGAGACATTGGCATCAGGATCATAATGAAATTCAGCGATGCTATTTACGATGCCGTCGACTGATGGAGCTGTGGTTGCATTAGATGAGCTGGGGAAATTTTCATGTCTGTCAACATCTGCATTAGTTTCAGCTGCTGCTCAAGTAATAACTCAAGTTTGGCAGGATCCATGTTTCCAAAACTACCGTCGCCAAATGTTAAGTTCGTCACTAGGTACGCTTGAAATTATTACGAGTTCACCTTAGTCGATAAACGCGAACGAGACAATGAACCAGCGTCCAAGTAGGCTATCTTGATCCCAAAACTGCAAAACAGAAGTCTTGATAAGCGTAGAAAGTATATTCTACAAACACCAAGCAATCACAATACAATCAAGCACACAATTCTCGTTTATTTATACATCATAGAAACGTCCTTGGGACAATCACAAAAATAGCATACTAAAATACACAGCAGCCAATCACTGCCATGGATTTTCATGGTGGGAAATGAAATCTCAAGGCCAGTTGATCAGACGATGCTCGCAAACGTGAAATCCAAGATAAGGCATTTATCAAGCGAGTTCTGGGGATCTAACAGTTGTGTACTATGCAATAGAGTACATACGCACATGACCATACCATGATAGCAGAGAGATGTAATTATCGGTTCACATCCCATAGTGATAGAGGTAGTAGAATTATGAGCAGTAATCGAAAACATTAGAGTTTAAAGAGAGATTGCTCAAGGAGTATAATCTAGTGAAATAAATTTGACAAGAGGAAAGATAAAGATCATGAGAAATTCATATAAACATTTAGGAGAACATAAAGATTGGATGTACCTACGTCATTGCAAACGTTGTTTACGTTTTTACTGATTTGTTTACTTCCCCAATAAAAAATTCCAATGTGCTCTGTATTGTGTATTATCGTTGAATTGGTATCTAAATTAAAAATAATACCTAAACAATAAATTGATGATTATGAACAGAGATCATTTTTTGTTATTATTTTGTAATAGTTTTTGATATGCTTGAATGCTATTACAAGTTCACCTTACTCGGTAAACGGAGAGCAAAGCAATGATACAGTGACACGGTAGGCTATTGTGATTCAATTGTCCCCAGCCCTGCTAACTATAGCAAGAAGTCTTGATAAGGCGTATAAAGTGTATTGTACAAGCACTCAGAAAATATGAGGTTGACAAGTATACAAATCGAGTTTATTTATACATCATAGGCATGTGCTTGAGAGAGTCGCCATAAAAATAGCTTACTAAAATAATACATCAACCAATGACAGTCAAGGATTATCAAGGGTGGAAAATGTAATCTCAAGGTCAACCGAGCAGCCCATGCGCGAAAACACAAAATTACAGAATTAGGCCACTTTCCAAGTAAGTTCTGGGGATCTAATGCACTCAACAGTTTTTAAGCAGAAATGAACATATTTTCATTCTACTGAACTAAGAGAAAAAAAATTCAACAATTAATCATTTTGCAGTACGGGTTTGTGAAGATTGCTAAGTTACACATTTTTTGAATCCATGAATCGATCAACGTTAGACCACCATTAGAAACCTGGAAGCACTAGACGGACGTTTCGTCCTGGAATGGAACTCTCCAGCAGTGCGCATCCATGACTGTTACACCCCGCAGGATTCGAACCCAGGACCTTTGGCACTGTGCGCGAACTCCCCAACCGTTAGACCACTGAGCCGGTTCCTAACGGTGTTAATGTCTAACTTGATCAATTCACGGAGTTGCGCAACCTCATACACAGTCTTCGGTTGACATTGCCTACACCCGAACAGGTTGAACTCCACTGGTCACGTCTTGTCACTAGAACTCAGAGAAGATTCCTCACGAAGCTAGTCACTTGGGAGCACAGGTAATTTGCATTACGGGGTTGTGACATCGTTGGACACCGGCCCAGTAGTCCAGAGATTAGGCATTCGTGCGCAAAGCCGAAGGTCCCGGGTTCGAGTCCTGCGAGGTGTAACAGTCGTGGATGCGCATTGCTGATGAGTCCCATACCAGGACGAAACGGCCGTCCAGTGCTTCCAGGTTTCTAATGGTAGTCTAACATTGATCGATTCATGGTTTCAAAAAATTAATCATTTCTCTACAATTTCTAATTCTATTGCCCTTTTTTCCTTTTTTCGCACACAGATTTTCCATTTGATGGATTTAGTCGTGAAACTGCCAGAAGTATGATGGCTTTAATGGATGTATCCTTTTCGTTTCCTGTTTTTTGTTTTCTTTCAGAAATTTTTTCTTTAGACTGGAAGTGGTAATCTTATCATAAATTTGGAAATATGATTACCTTATATTGATAGTTGTACCCATATCATGGGATGATAAAAGTTAGGCTTGAAGGTCCACTGGTTCGGTGTTCTATACGGTTGAGAATGTGCACTGCTATGAAGTCCCATCACCAGTAGTTACTCATTGATTCCTAGTTTTCATTGGTTAATCGAACTAAGACCAGGCTATAGTGTTAACTGGAAAAAATTCACCAATCTCCTCAAATCTCTTATAGTAATCGTATTAGTAAGCAAATCAATATTGTTCATTATGAAATGATATCAACTGGAAGAATAATTGAAGAAAAAAGATTGCTACGAAGCATTGAACAGCTATTTTATTTTCGTTTTATTATGATTTCCTAGTTAGAGTTGTGGAGATTAATGTTCTGACACATTTGAAATCATCAATCAATCATTGTTAGACCAGCACTAGAAACCTGGAAGACATTGGACGGCCATTGCATCCTGGTATGGGACACATCAGCAGTGCTCATCCACGACTGTTGCACCCCGCAGGATTCGAACCCAGGACCTTCGACTTAACGTACGAACGCCTAATCTCTGGACTACTGGGCCAGTATCCAACGATGTTAATGTCTAACTCTGATTGATCTAGGGATTTTGTGCGACCTCAACTTAGTAGTGTATGAAAACATAATCAATGACAAGTTAAATTTCAAAAGCATTCTTCTAGATATATACTTCTTCCCTACACTTAGATGAATGCAATTGCTTTCTTGTTATCATCATTTACAGCATCTCAACCAGATTGATTGACATATAAATGACGGCATGTTTTTTGTTCACCACGATTTGATCGTATTCTGTTTGACTTGATTGGTGAGTAAAATGATAATCTAAAATACAATTCAGATGTATACCCCAGAGGAATCGATTAAAAAAAAAAAGAGAAAAGACGGTCATGAGGAATTCAAAAGACTAGAATTTGAGTGAACATAAAGAGTGAAAGCATGTACGTCATTGCAAACGGTTTTGAGCCATGTAATTCAGGGTCTCTAACTATCTACCATTGTCATATCGCGGACCCCAACCATGTATTCTACATTTACCAACATGGCTCAGTCCACTTGTCAGTGACTCCATGGATTTTTGCCATGTTTTGGTCTGGCCGCCCCTAGCTTTCGTCCAACCTATTCCTACATCGCAAAAAGTAGCTTGTCGAGGCAGTCGGTGGTCGGGCATTCGTAACACATGTCCCAACCACCTCAACTGATGAAGTTTCACTACTTCATCTATTGATCTGCCATCCTTACCTAGCACCCGTTTCCTAACAACAGCACTGCTTACTCGGTTGTCCCATGATACACGAGCAATGCTTCGAAGACACCTATGATCGAAAACAAGCAACCTACGAATATCTTCTACGCTTACCGGTCATGTTTCAAAGCCATAAGGTAAAACGGAGGAAATCATGCAAATACTTGTACAAGCACAAAACAAAGTATCTATTAGAAGATATCTGATCTTTCCTAGCTAATTCTCTTTGTAATGATGTATCGATTCAATTATCAATGATTTGTAAGCATTACATGTGTATGTTGAAACTAAAGTATAAACTTAATGAGATAATATGTGGGGCCATATGTTGGAAATTTGAATCCATCTTGTTCCTTTTTGTATATTAGTGGATGATTACGAATTCGATGTGAATTGTTCTCCTCCTCACCACCTCTGATATGATTGTTTTAATTATGTCACTGAGATCTATTCTTATTATCTTGATCTGTATACTTTTTCTTGAGTTTACTTGTGACGACCGCCCCTTAGTGTACAATTTGTGAAGAATGATAACTCTAGAGTTTCTCTTGACATTTCATTAATTAAAACAACTTAGTTGTTACTACTTCTATCACTTTGACATCTCTCTCTTTTGGAAACTCCACCTCGCTTTGTTAACATGACATAAATGTGATTATAACTGCAATCCATTTATATAGATTGAGTTTTTTTTTCTTTTTACTGGATTTACATTGGTTTTTGTTACGAACTCACATCACCACATCAATCAATACTCTTGAACTATTACGAGTTCACCTTAGTCGGTAAACGACTGCAAGACAATGATCCGGTGACACGATAGGCTACTCTAATCCGAGCGTCCCAAACCCCCCCCCTTAAATAGAAGAAGAAGAAGACTTAATATGAAGTAAAACGTGCATTCTACAAGCATCCAGAAAGTACGTGGCCCGAGTTCAGAAGAGGATAAGGATCCAAATCATAAAACATTACAGACAATGCATATTTATACAGTTAGGTCAAATAGGAAACAACATTTAAAGTATGTGACATTGATAGTTCGGATGACCAATAAGAGTTAACCAATAGAATTAGACTTCCGGAAATAATTGGTGTCATTATCCTAACAGTTTTATAATACCGTCATAAAATAAGTATATCAAATTGTTGTATATTATCCTTGACCATGTTTCATATTAACATGTAATATAATATAAAATATAGGCTGATTTAAGTGGTGGTTTGGGTTTTGATGAATTTAAAAAACTTTGGATGGAATTACGCATTTGGAAGGTATTTATCATGTTAATCATTGTTCTAAATATTTATTTTGTTACAATACGTTTTTAAAAGGAAAGTATAATACATTACTAATCAACTAATTCATTTATTTACATATTTTAAAGTCGATGATGATCTCTGTCAAGAACATTGTTAGCGCCTTGTAACATAAAATCTAAATGGATTCAGCCGTGTAATTTTATCCCAACGTAGTTAAATTAAGGGTAACAATAATAACTTTATTATAGGTCAGGTATGATCTAAAATAAGACGAATGAGGATTTTCATATTTTGTTTGTAGTAAAGTGGTTGTCAGTTTAAATCCTACCATTAATAACTACACTTATACAGACGATTGTTCTCTCAAATTCAAACATACACTTCGTTCTTTTACTGTAACTGTGGCTTTAGAACCGAGCCCGCTTTTTGGAATATTCCCATCGTAGGAAGAATTTTTTGAAAATAAACCCATCAGAGTTGTAAATCCAGTTGTCTGTGATGATGATGATACTTTGGAACAACATTACTTTATGTAAGTAGAATATTGACATCCGTAAATAGATAGGCTTTGCTGTTACGCTACACGTTACATACTTTCAACTGTGTAAAGATATCTAGGCTGCACCAACCATCTCTTCGAATTTAGTTGGCTACGATTTTTATTATAGCTGCTGAAATCTTAAATGTGGTGGTTTGAACACGAAATAAATCGTGATTCAAAATGTAATATAGTTAGACGTATTTATTTTTCATCCGGACAGGGTGTAGTGAACGAGAACACAGGTGGGGCAACCGAATTGTATGTAAAATAGGAAAACCATATCGTAACCGTTAATTTGCAAATCATCAATCCATTGTCTGACATTTCACTTATTCATGCGTTTCATACAAATTCCATTGTGTTCCCACTCTTCTTCCTTTCTTGATCTTCCCCCATCTTCCGCTGCCAGACATTACGTTTACACTCGCGTCATTTACTAATTATAAGTAGCTCACACCACAAGGGGAAGGCTGATTCGATTGTTAGTAAGATTAAAAAGTTGTACTGTAACTAACTTGATGACTGCAAATTTAAAAAAAATGATTATGTATCAGTAAATGATAAACGATGATGGGTTAGGTCATTCAATCCATGCAAATATGTTGAACAATTGTCCTTCACGACTTTCACTTTTGTGATCATACAATTGGTAGCCAATCATCAAAACTGATTCGAATCCTCAATTTAATGATACACGATTTTACAAGTATTGGCAGCTCTCTTTCCTTTCACAAACCCAATATATTACTTAAGATTAGATTTAATAAAAAAAACTGATCATGAATATTACTTCCTAATATTTGTTTAAATTTCCTCTTAATGTAATATTTCAGACTATCTTCAAAAAATTCGATGGAAGTCATAGTGGCAGCTTAGTTGCTTTTGAATTACGTAATGTAATGAGGACCGTTGGTAAGTGAAATTTCCATTAACTTTTTTTATCCGATACAGATTCGTTTACTTGATTTCCAGTCATACTAATTGTGACTACTAGTAACTACTTGATTGCTTAGAACGAAGTAGATAAAGCTGGGTTCTCGAACCTCTTACTTAATGACCGACCAAAAGTCAAATGCCTTAATCACTGAGCCATCATGATTCAACAGCTTGAGAAACGGTTTGCTAACATCCGAATCAAATTTCCAATGAATATAAAAACCAAAAACAATACACGAAACGGATGTACAATCCAGTATGATCGATGAATTGATGTATTCAGACGACCGTCCAAATAACAAATCTCTCGGAATATTTAATTGTCGACAAGGCGATATGATCTGAAAAGCTCTCGAAATCCATTCTTAAGAATGGAAAACCTACGACAAATTATAGGACTACATTTTAAAATCACCTTAATTTAAAAATCCGAACAATGTTTAGCTTTCACAACATCATCAAGTCGAAAAGTTCACTAAAGAATTAATCGAAATATGTTCATTTCCTCCAAAGTCAGAGATATGTAGGCTACTGAGAATTCTCAAATTAGGATGTCAAATCAGAACTCTTGACTTTGAGAACTGATACCAGTGTGTATGTATACTCCTTTATATGTTCTGTCTAGACTATAACTGGGGATATCATTTTACTAATTATAACCAAACAATGATTGAAGTACATAGAGACTAACTGCATATATTTATATAAACGACAGTATTCGTAGATGAACTATTTAAAGTAGAAGTGACGAATAGTTAATTGTGTTAATCAGATTTTTACCTAACATTTTTAATTCTTGGTTGTAATATGTACACATTCTTGGTCTTTCATTCAACTGTTCGGTGAATTAATTGTATTGGTCTTTTATAAGAATCGTATGTATCGTACTGTAATTGTACTTTTGACCAATGCAATCAGTTAGTTATTGCCTACTTGTGTATTAATTTTAAAACACAATCACCATGTCGCTTTATTTAGTATGCAAAATGCACTGAAGATATTTCTTATAATGCTATTTGGTCTGGCAGTGACTGTCATTGAAAGGTGTACCAAGGAAGTACATTAACCTTATACAAGCTCTCTACTCGAACACCACTGGTCGAGTGAGAGCTTATGGCGAACTGTCACCGGCATTCTTCACTTCAAGTGGTGTCCGTCAGGAATGTCCACTTTCTCCATTCTTGTTTAATTTTATCATAGACATGCTCCTAGATATAACCTTATCCTCGTCTGAATTTTCAGGAGTAGACCTACCAGGTGGTTCGCTTATTGACTTAGAATATGCCGATGACATAGTCCTACTTGGTGAAGACGCTGACAAAATGCAGAGTCTTCTGACCACCCTAAGCAACATTGAAAGCATGTTCAGGATGCGATTCTCCCCCTCGAAATGCAAAATGTTGCTTCAAGACTGGGTTTCATCGGCACCTGAACTAGTGATAGGGAGTGAAGTAGTCGAACGTGTTGACCGCTTCACTTATCTGGGGAGTCTCATCAGTGCCGATGGCCTGGTGACCGACGAAATCTCAGCTCGGATACAGAAGGCTCGATTAGCTTTTGCCAACCTGCGTCACTTATGGCGAAGGCGAGATACCCGTTTGCTGACTAAAGGACGAGTGTACTGTGCAGTAGTTCGCTCCGTCTTACTTTATGGCTGTGAAACATGGCCAATGAGGGTAGAAGATATTCGTAGGTTACTGGTTTTCGATCGTAGGGGTCTTCGAAGCATTGCTCGTATATCCTTGGACACCCGAGTGAGCAACGCTGTTATTAGGAATCGGGTGCTAGGCAAGAATGGAAGATCAATATATGAAGTACTGAAACTTCATCAGTTGAGGTGGTTGGGACATGTGTTGCGTATGCCTAACCACCGACTGCCTCGAAGAGCTTTGTTTTGTAGTGTAGGAGTAGGTTGGAAGAAAGCTAAGGTCGGCCAAACCAAAACATGGAAGAAATCCATGAAATCATTGACGAATGGACTTAGCCATGTCGGTAATTGTCGACTACCTGGTTGGGGTCCGCGAGATGATAATAATCGATGGTTAGACACCTTGAATGACATGGCTCAAAATCGTTCGCAATGGCGCAGGTGCATTTATTCTTTGTGTTCTCTCAAATCCTAATCTTCTGGATTCTTCAACACCTCTAGTTTTGACTTTCTAAACTTATCTCATTGAATCATACTTCGTGAATAATATCTTCTAATCCTAACCTCTCCGATTACTTCTAGTACCTTTACTACCTCTTCTACTATTGGATTTGTATTGACAATCACTCTCTGTGCTGATGTGGTATGGCGACATGAACTGATGTACTTACGTACGAAGTTCTACGTTGCATCTGACTGACTATTTGGTCTGGTGTATTACCACCGGTAGACAATAATACGTTCCATAAACTATCTAGTGAGTGATTTATGTTAAATAATGGTCAAACCTAGTAGTATAATTAATGAATTTTAGCTCCTGAAAGGTCGTCACATGCCGCAATTATGATTCGCGTGTTTATTCTCTGAAAAACTAAAAAGCTCAAAGCATTGTAGAGGAACAAAAGTGACTAGAATTGATTGATTAGTGCACTGTAATATACGATTACTGTTCGAAAGGTTGACACGGTGATCTTAGTTGGTACAAACCACTTCTACTCACCAAGTAACTTATCAATAATATACCAAAGTAACCCTCTGATCCTTATATACTACATTCAGTAGAATATCAAATTTATTTCTCCTTTCAATAAATATGGTTATGATTGTTAACTGGGATTTCTTTCCTTCATTAGGTTTTTCTGTGAGTAATATGATTTTCAAGGCTATCGCTTGTCGATATGCAAATGAAAAAGGTCAGATCTTATTTGATGACTACATTTTACTGTTAATTCGACTATCCACTGTTTTTGAAACATTCAAAGCACAAGAACGTACTCGAGATGGTCGAGCTGTCTTTGGAGCTGATGATGTAAGTTTGAATTAAATATAATTGAAGATGATCTATTCTAAATCTTATGTAATTGTGGTTGGCTGCAATCAACAAGAAACCATGGACATAGGTTTAAGCCTATGATATTGTATTCTGACTGAGATACTCAGAATTGATTGATCAACCACCTAACATCTTAACATAGTACTATATTGTAACGATAAAAACTAGGCAAACATTATATCGGTCACTACACAGTGTATAATCAGTTGTATTCTATACCGATATATTTTGTGTATAAAAATTTAAAAGTCGAAAGCTGAAGCTGTTTATAGAATATTTCATGTGTTCTCCAACTAGAGCAATGTGTTGTAACCCAAGTAAAATAACACACACACAAGAGAATGAATAACTTTCGCAGATATTGAACATGGTCATCATCAGTTGTTAAACTGGCGGCTATCAGCAAGTATAGATCCTTAATACAATACAATAATAAACACAAAGAACCTAATTAGCAGTATTATGCATAAGTTTGACATCAAGACAACCTTCAAAACATTGTATAGAAATGTTGAAAGAGGAATTTTGAGGTTTATGGGGAAGCCCTGGCTATTCGTAGGTTAAACCCCCGCCCCCACCTGGTAATGTGACAATTTCCCTACCGTTTCTTATTCTTTCCATATTATGTTAATTTTCTCTCTCCTTTATTTACAATTATCTATTTGAACTTTTATTAATCTTCATATAAAATACCTTGACAAGTGTATATGTTTGACCAAATTGTTCGAAATGTGTATAGCGCGCAAATACATCACAACATTTTTCCGATCAATTACGTTTTCTGACTGTTCTATTAAAATTTATAAACGGGATTAATTGTTTTAAATTTATATGATGTATGTATTTGTTATTTTGGTAATGTATAGAGTGAAGTTATTAACCTGTATAATCTTAATTAAACTCCACTGCCTAATGTATTCTTTATCCTGTTACTACTTTATTTTTGCAGTTCATTCGATCAGTTATATACATTTAAAAGCAGATTAAAAATAAAACCATCATCATCATCCTAATAATATTTATGTGAATACCAGATTATGATGGTGATAAGAAACCGAAACAGCCAACCAAATTGCATATGTGTGTGTATGATGTGTGTGTGCGTACAACGTCTGTCAGGCACACACACAACATATCGATCGTAACCATCATGTATTATTATTATTTTGCTACTTGACTTTTTTTTTTGATTAATTTTAATTTTTTTGTATTTTTTTAAAAAATGTTATTTATATACCTGATAATATTAGTAAAAGCTTTTTTGGCAATATAAATAAAACATACATTAATTTGCTTTTATGATGAACACTCTACATGATTCTCTCTATGAATAATTCGTATTGTGAATGCGCTTAAAGAAGAGTCTTGAAACAACTGACCTAGTCATTTATTATTAATGGGACATAGATTAGATTAAAGCATAATTGCGTTGTTTTACACACTGATTGGCTCTTTTGTATTATTCAATCAGTACTAGCCGAGACTGGGGGGGGGGGAATATTCTAGAATCTTCTCATGTATACAAATGTTTTTGAGCTTTTTGGCTAACCATCTAACCTCGTTATTGGAATATAATCTATTTCTTGTTCAACCCGTATACTGGTTTGGGAAAATGTCTTCAGTGAATTGGTGTCCGAGAATACTAAGCATCAGAGAATAGCTCGGTTGTAATGAAGAGAGAATTATAACAAATATTGTGATAGACTATTGGCCAGGAGTTTTAATTTAACACCAGTAAAATCCAAATATTCTACAGCATTACATCCAAATCAACAGGAAATTGATGCCGGCTTTTAATATTGATTAAAATCGATATTAGGTAAACAGAATTTGATAGAAGAAACGTGTATAGTTTTTGTTTCGCATGTTGAATCTATAAATATCTCAAAACTATACACTGCTGTCTAATTTTGATGCATTCTAATGAATGATTGCTGCTATTACTGTACCTTATTAGAGTTAATTAGTCAATTAACAACAATGTAGAACTTCGTACGTAAGTACATCAGTTCAAGTTGCCATATCACATTAGCACAGAGATGCGATTGTCAATTGAAATCCCATAGTAGTAGAGGTAGTCTAAGTATTAGCATTAATCGAAGAGATTAGGGTTCGAAGATTTTATTCAAGAAGTAGAATCTAGTGAAATAAACTTAAAAAGGAAAAGATAAAGGTGATGGAGAATTCAGAAGGTTAGGATTTGAGAGAACACGAAGAATGAATGCACCTGAGCCATTGCAAACGGTTTTGAGCCATGTTATTCAGGGTCCCTAACCATCGAATACTATCATCTCGCGTGCCCAACCAGGTAGTGGACACCCAGCGACATGACACAGTGAACTCATGGATTTGTGTCATGTTTTGGTTTGGCCGCCCCTAGCTTTCGTCTAACCTATTCATATATCGCAAAACATAGCTCGACGAGGCAGTCGGCGGTTATGTATACGCAAAACATGTCTCAACCACCTCAACTGATGAAGTGTCATTACTTTATCTATTGACCTTCCATCCTTACCTAGCACCCGTTTCCTAACTACTGCATTGATTACTCGGTTGTCCCATGATACACGAACAATGCTTCGGAGACACCTGTGATCGAAAACAAGCAACCTACGAATATCTTCTCCTTTGACTAGTGATGTTTCACAGCAATTCAGTTTGGTTAGCAAACGGGTTACTTGCGTACGCCGTAAGTGACGCAAATTGGCAAAAGTCAATCGAGCTTTCTGTATCCGTGCTGCGATTTCGTCAGTCACCAGGCCATCAGCACTGATGAGTATCCCAAGATATGTGGAGCGGTCAACACACTCAACTGCTTTATTCCCTATCACTAGTTCAGGTACCGACACAAGCCGATCTTGAAGCAACATTTTGCAATTCGACGGGGAGAATCGCATCTCGAACATTCTTGCATTGTTGCTTAGGGTAGTCAGAAGACACTGCATTTTATCAGCGTCTTTACCAAATAAAACCATGTCAGCATATTCTTGGTCGACTAATGTATCTCTCCTGGTAGAAGGGCTACTCCTAAAAATTCAGACGAAGATAAGGTTATATCTAGAAGCATGTCTATGACACATTCGGAACCAATTGGAAATCGACCGGAGATCTCCCTAAAAAAAAACGCTACACGAAAAATGCACTTTAAATCGTTTTTTTACTTTTAAACAACAACAAATCTATACGGTTACTTTCATGAGGCTAAATGTATTTATAGTTAGGTAGATTAGCATTTCTAGGATATTAATTTACAGTAAGCTGGACATTTTTGAAAACAAAATTCCGTTTGCGTATGTTCATCATATTGGTATAACTGACATTGACCAAATGAATATTGACCTGAAAAGCTAAACCAGTCGCTCCGTTTATGAGACATACCACGTCTAACTATTGAATTAATATTCCGAGAGACGCTTAGTTTTTTTTACGATTCTACTGTTTCAACTGCCTAAAGCAGTTTGTATTACGTTTCGTGAAAGACGCTTGGTAATAAATTCCGAATAGGATAGACGCCAATGTTTCCCATTTCAAATACAATGAGAGATCGACGTATACTGACTCAGTTTATTTTATATTACACAATCTGTTTCCCACTACAGTTTGTTGAATGATGCAATATCTACAGACTGAACATGGTCTTCAAACTTCATTATAGATTCTTCAAGGAATTCAGTTCCAATCTGAAAGAAGACAGAGATACGAATTTATTATATAGATATTATAGCTAATATTATTGAACTCAGCTATAAAATTGGATTCAGGTAGAGAGGAATGCTTACTCGTGAGAAAAATATCATGTAATTTTGAGTGTTGGGAAAGGTAACTACTAAGCAACATATTGCTTATGTATAATAGTCTCAACGATTCGCAGTATAAACTAACCTTGTCATCTTCAACAACACAGCATATTTGGAGCTTTTGTATACCGTAAGCGACGGGTACTAATTTCGATGAACCCCATAAAAGACCATCTGCCTGAATGCCTTTCACCAAAGTAGTAAGTTCTTCCATATCTACTTCATCACTCCACGGCTTCACATCGAGGATGATGCTTGATTTCGCTACTACAACAGGTTCTAAACAAAGGAAAAGTTGGTAGATATACCAACACTAGGGGTAAGTAATCAACTATAAATTGCATAATGATAAAGAAAGCAGTATAAACAAATATAAGTTGATTAACAATTGAAATGTCATTTTACAGGTGCATATTACTAATAGATGTGGTCTTAGTAATCGACTGAACTTAATTACGATTTCATGCACAATACACACTTCACAAGAGAGAAATGAAGTTGATGGTTTTCTGTACTTTCATAAATTTTAAACGAGTGTTTCGACACAAAACATTCATCAAGAATAAGAATAATAGTCCTTATAGGTGTTGTAGACCCAATCCTATCACACTGTTATATTTATTAGTCATTGCAATGTTTTTATAGACGACAGACTTTTCAGGGGTGGACCTTCGACTAGGATACTCGCTTGTTGACTTAGAGTATGCTGATGACAGTTTTATTTGATATAGACGCTGACAAAATACAGTCATCTGACTACTTTAAGCAACATTGAAAGCATGTTCAGGATGCGATTCTCCCCATCGAATTGCAAAATGTTGCTTCAAGATTGGCTTGTATCGGTACCTGAACTAGTGATACGGAGTGAAGCAGTTGAGCGTGTTGACCGCTTCACATATCTTGGGAGACTCATCAGTGCTGATGACCTGGTGACTGACGAAAGCTCAGGACAGATGCAGAAGGTTCAATTGGCTTTTGCCAACTTGCGTCACTTATGGAATAGGACAGATATCTGTTTGCACTAACTCATAAAAATGATATCAAACTGGAAGTCTCGATGTTTTCTAAGCTGGGATCATACAGTGTGCTTAGTGAGAGTGGTGGTTATGTATTGACTAATACTGATTAGTTGTCGATATTAGTAGTAGTGAGCTAGTGTATGACTTCAGTCAGTCAGCAACAACGTACAGACGTACATCACTTCAACTTTTCGTACCACATCAGCACACGCACGCAATTGTCAATTTAAATCCCATAATAGTAGAGGTAATGGCAGTATTTGTGGTAATGGAAGGGATTAGGGATCGAAAATATGATTTGAGAAATATAATCCAGTGAAATAAGTTCAAGAAACGGAAGCCATGGGGAATTCAGAGGATTAGAATTCGAGAGAAGACAGAGAACTATTGCACCTGCGCCAATGCAAGCGATTTTCTGTCATGTACTTCAGCGTAGGACCCTGCGCAAATACAAATTGCACAAGGTATACAGAGACTAAAACATTCAAAGACTCAACGGGAATCGTACTAAAAATGGCTCTATAAGTCTTGATTTTTTTAATACAACATACGCCATATACATTATCGCTTCAGTAATCATCGAACAGAGAAGCACAGAGCCTCTGTATTATGTCGCAACATCACTACGCTAATGCGTTTTCTTGAAACCACCATAAATGCACGAATTTGTACAGATGTTAGAGAAGGTTATGCTAGTCGCATGAATATAAAACATAAATATGTCAAAAATTTTCCGCTCTTAACTAACTTATATACCGAATATATATTCGTGTACTTAGCCTTGAGTCAAACTAAAACTGAAGTAGAAGGAGCAGAAATTAAGTGCACAATAGCTGGTCGAACATCTTATCTGTAGAGCTAGTGTATAGAAGGAGTTAACCAGTTTTTTTTTATTAAGTAGGTGGGTTTTTAGGTTAATTCAACGCTGAAACGACTTACTTGTAGATTTTTTCGCAAGGTATGCGGCTTCTCTTTCACGCCTGATACGCTCGGCTTCTTGATCGTCCTGAAGAAGTCTCAAAAATTATAACTGTATACCTCGCTGTCTGAAGCAAAAAGATCTGACTCAGCATCTGACTTATTTTTAACTGCATCACACGAATCATTGCTCAACTTCATGGTATTGATCCGTGATTCCAGGTGTGATATGCGACCGACAAGACTATTGACAACTAGAAAAAGAAAAAGTCTACTAATAAGTATGATTGAAATTCAGGATGCCGTTAAAAATAAACAAACAAATCTTACGGATTATGATAATGAAGAACAAAATAATGACGATCATGTTCATTAATGCTACTAATTCTTCTAGGAATGTAGGTATATTTAAGAAGGATGCGAATAAATTTACAGCCACCAACGCGTGTCGAAGTTTCAACGTGGGCTTCAAAAGAAACGAATCTTTTACAGGTAAATGGTGATCGTCTTAATACTTAAATTTCAGTTTGTTGTAGTTTGTGTATGCATGCACTAAGTTGTTACTTGTTAAATCCAACCATATTTCCATCTCATGGTTCCTCAAAACGATTGTCACTATACGTTCCCAAGAGTAAAATTTTTATAACCCATTATGAGTCTTTCGATTTAGTTTAGATGCATTCACTCTCTCCTAACATTCCGAGTCTCTAGATGCTTGGAAGTAAAATTGATCAAAACGGAACTTAATTATTTCATCCAAGTGACTAAGTCAAGTGCTAATCAATACAAGCCACGGCTTACTAGATGCACGATAGCTTGATTTCACAATAATTAAGGAAAAGCAATGGTCAAAGCAAGAAGCGGAACTAATATGCTGTCGCAGAATTTTTATAAACTGTACAAGTAAAAGTGAGATATTTGACTGAAGCCAACGAAAATTTGATAAACACTACCCGCGAATACCTAGTAAGAATGAATTCATCAAAATATAAGGATGTCACCAGATATGAAGGGATAATGCAGTGGTAAGTCTGTATGAAAGTTTATTCAAATAATTAGGAAGTTTGAGCGGAAGAATGAGTATAAATATAACACTAATGATTCATGTAGAAGGATGAACGTTCAAACGTGAGAACAAGCATGTTAAACCTTATCTTTACCATCCAAACAATTAACAGAGAAGTTAAAAAGTTAGTGATGTGAATTTTAGCTGCTACTTATAGTATCATTTTATAAACAGTACTCTGAAGTATGAGGTTCTCACTTAATTACACAATTAAGCTACTTAACTGGATTACAAGTTATATAATTGAGTATCATTTTAAAAATCGATTTGAGAACACTATTACAACGCGAAAATGACTTACGTTTTTCAAGTTCATCAAGACGTCCAACGTCGAAAGGTCGGGATACAGCTACCTAAGGAAGCGAAAAAACAGTGGACAGAATCAAGAAATAGATACAGTGCTTCTTACAAAGTCAAAAAATATTATAAAACACTTGCCTCAGAAAGACACCAGAACCTACGTCAATCAACTAAGGTAGTGAATACAGAATCGGTAAACCGAGTGCGTAAACTTAGCCTACTGAAATCAACCCTATAATTATAATTTGTAATATTTAATTCTAGTGTCAAATAACCTATTTTCACCATTTTTATCAAGCCGCCCTGATAAACAAATCAGTTAGATAGTAAATTTTCCATGAAACTTTTTTATTAATAAACGCAGTAGTCTGGAGATTTCTAATTTAAATAAAATAATACGTAGATCTAACCAACAAGTAACTAACATGGTCGGCTGACAACCAGTGACATACGCTGCGCACCAACTCGCAAATAACCAAATGCACTTACGCGATCAAGAGAAGTTTTGATATGCTCTCTGGCTTTCTGTATTTCTTGTGTCAAAGACCCCAATTTCTTCAACCGTTAGTAAATGGAACTACAATATACCAAGGTTTCCGGAGCTTTAGATTGATCATGTGATGACAGATGAGATACGTAAGCTTTCTCGATATCCGGATAATCGGGAAACGCAAGTGTCTGTGAGTCTACAAGTAATCCAACTTCCATTTCGACCACGCCACAAACAAACTGAATTACCCTCAGTAGAGTAACTGAAAATCCACAACTATTCAATTCTCAATAAGTGTCTTCAATATTTGAGGGCTGGTTTTCCATCTAATGAAAACATATGCATTGAAATTGATACTTGTAGTTTCGAAGACATTAGTTCTAATATCTAGTACCTTTTCAGTTGCTATTATGAACTGATTGATTTCTTTGTTAATGCTACTTATTTTTTCTGTTCGCTTCCAGACTTTCGCTAATACTGGACAAATATTTCCAAATGTTGCTGACTTTCCTGAGCACAGGGATTTCGTTTTTCCGGTAAATAACCCGAGAGTTAGTCCGGTATTCCCTAATTAGTCGGTGAAGTTGGCATTAAAGATTTCAGCTATCTCTCCGTTGGAAGATTTTTGTCTTACGGGTCTTCGAAAATACAAACAAGTTGGTTTTCAGGATTCATAAACGTATTCACCTATAGCAAGTGTTCAGTGCCCGGCTTACCGCAAGTTCTCTTTCCGGCTGCGAGGAATGCATGTGGCACATTGTGTAGGAGAGCACTGTGAATGACGTCTCTCACTATTTGTCTGTGATTATCTTCTGTTGGCCTCCACCCAGGGGCATGTAGAAGATTCTCTCTCATGAATGTGTTATTTGCTCTAGTGTACTGTAGATAGGGCTCCTTTTCGTTTCCCCTGAGTGTTTCGTTTATGACCGTACTACACATGACTGCACCATGGTCAGCACCTATTGATTTATGGACGTGAATATCATCGACTAGGAGATGATCGTTTGTTCAGATAATCAACCTTTAAGTATTTTCCATCCTCACTCCATCAAGCCGCACTACATACATACCCAGGCAGGCCAGAACCTTTTTTGGCTGCGCCAAGTCGCCTATGGAACCGCTCCCTAGGAGTAGTACGCTGTTTACTGAGATTTAAGGATGGAGTGTTTAAATCTCCAGCTAAGAATTTTCGATCAAACCCAAGGAACAGAAGTTACAATATTACCTCAGTCAACTTATCTTTCAGGTACTTAGTTGGGTGCCATGTAATCCTTCGGCTTTGAAATGGCTGTTATATATTTAGCCACTCCATTTCTTGTCTTGTGTACCCTATCGCATCACGCCTTGCAACCTCACTTCATCGTCTGTAATGTCGGGGGATAGCCATGTTTCAGTTAGGATTATGATATTTAGATCACATGCCCTTAGTACTCTTACGTTGCTGTGGATGAACCTGGTGGGTTGTATCATTTACTGGTGCACCTCTGCAGCAACAGCGACTGAATCCTTCTTTTCAGTGGACTACCCTCCGACACTGGAGCATTCAATGAAATTAAGGAGCTTTGTCCCACTTCTTCATTGTTGGCTTTAACCATTTTGGGGGTTGCTTTGTTGTTATTTCTTTTTCTAACGTTAACTCACCGACCCATACTTTTAAAAAACACCAGGTTATTTAAAGCAATTGGTTGTGGCTTTCATGATTGCCTGTTTAATTGACCCTATGTTGGGCAAATACAGTAAATTGGAGGGGATTGATTCGTTTGTTTTCAATAAGGTCTGTCAGGTTTTACTTGAAGCTACTGATGTGGACAACTACGAGTAATGGGCTCATATGACTAAGACAAGTCTAACGCAAATAATGCTCAGTAAAACTAAGTTTTACGGGAACCAAAAGTGTTTGCTTAAAAGCATCCCAAACTTGTTCAAAACCCGAAACAACCTTCAACTCCTAGCTCAACCCAAGTTCTTCTCTTTCCAGGTGCGTGGTGTCCCTGAAGTACACTATTTAGGAGAGCACTTTGAATGATGTCTCGCACTGTTCGCCCGTGATTATCTTCTGTTAGCCCCCACCATTCTCGTTGTAATAAGGTGTGTATAAGGTACGTACCCATGGTTGTGTAACTTTTCCTGGTGTGCTATATGTAACGAGTGTCGTCTTTTTTCCAAAGTATTTCGTTTACGAACACGTTCGTCTTGACTGTGCTATCGTTACTACTTCCTGTTTCGTGGGTTGTATTCTTATATTCCCATAATATACTTTAATTTTAGTAGTCAGTATCAATTTTATCTTGACTTACCACTGTATTTACTACTTCAGCATGACAGGTTAAGTAGTGTTTTGGTTATATATATATACACTTGCCACGCTGCTACCTTTTTTTTCTTTCTGTCTTTTCTCCCTTTTTAGAACCCCATTCACGGCGGGAAATACATGGCGACTATGGTAAACATGCACCCCATGTACATTGTGGTGGTGTTTCGTTCTCTGTACATGTACATGCATGTCTGAATCACAGCTTTTATCTAGAGCGTTCCAATTGACCTTTCGCAACAAATTCACTATTGATCTCAGCAAAACGCCCGAGAAACCTACTGTGCACCTTCCCTATTTGTACTCTCCTGTTGAAAATGTGGCTGCATCATACTGTTTCTGTCAGTGACGTGGTGTAAATGTGCTATCAGAAACTGACTCTTATACTTAATTTGATTGCGATAACTTTTACGAATGTGAAACCATTTGTGACAATCTGATCTAGCCTGTAAACTGGCATGCTTCTTGTAACGTAGTTATTTGAGAATAAATATTATTATTAGTGCGGAAGTATTGACGAGTAGGGAGCTGCAAATGAAGCTCGAGTTTTCAACGAAAGTCATCTACGTTGAACTGTAGCAGTAGTAACGTGCCACCTTTGCTGTTCCAGTTGGCTTGCTACACCAACGTGGCTCGAATTCAGAGTCTAGAGATTGCGTTCGTTGGTGATCGGACCAGAAAACGACGCAGACGTAGGACGGAACCAGATTGAGAGAAGGAGCCAGAAAAGACCAGAATGACCAAGTTCGAAAGCATGCGTATGCCAGATACATTCGGAAAGCGAACATCGACTGAGTGCCTTGACAAAGGCGTGGGTGATCAGGCCAGCTTTCGCCAAGATTGACTGAAATCGATGGTATCTACTGGGCGATGGTCGTAGGCATGGGCTCAGGATAGAAAATGAAAAAAAAGGGAAAAAATGTGTAGCATATATGTAGTACGAGGATAGTGCACTACAACGTATCGGTTGTTGCTTGGATGGTTATTCGAGAAAACGTAAAGGTACGCATACGTTGCGACCGGAACACGAAACG